CAGTATGCAGTATATGTCTGTGAAGGACCATCCAGGGATATAAACCGTCCAAAGATGTGTCCGGGTGTTGGACGTTGAAGGGGGGTGGAAAGCTTGCGATCCATGTCTCAATGACGCCCTGGTATTCCTGGACATCTGCATGCGCCATGACGTTTTTCGGCGAGCCGAATCTTCGAGAAAGTTGTCGTGTTACGCTGCATTGCATCCTCATGTGTAATAGTGGCGAGTATTCGCACCCTTCCAAGCTGAGACTTGGAAGGCTGGCATCGCAGTCGGCTCGATCGATAATCATAGGCCTACCCAACAGTGTCGAAATCTGCCTTTCGGAACGTAAGCCACAAAACATTGAGCCGTGAGGAAGATCACATACCAGTCCCAAGTATCCAGAATGCACCAGATTCTCCGTCTTATTTCCAAATCAAATTCTGAGATGGGGCCTGCCTTGCCTTCTTGATGGATGGCTGTGATAAAGTCAGCTGTCGTGTCAAGTTACCAGCTATACACAAGCCATACATAGTTCTTGGGCCTCTCGAATAGCAGAGTTCAAAACATGCCAACATTCGACAAAACGGGCTTCAGCTTTGAACCAGTAACAAGAATGCAGGAGTTGCTGAACATTGACAATGTGGCCATGACCGAGGGGTATAGCGCTTCCCAGCTCTCGAGCAGCTTCATGAAACCGCTCACTTATACGCTGTATCGGATCGCCAATGCCAACTTCAAGATTCCGTTGCAATTCGACGTCAGTATACTGCGAGGCACATGCGCAAATTGTTAGGAGAAGGCAAGTCCATTGGACACTAAGAGGGCGGTTCTTGGTTCGTGATGTCCACCACAGTTGATACTGCTCTATGAAAGATGGCGGATAAACGATGTAGTAGTGGTAGTTGACATTGCTGAGGAAGTTTTGGACAAGTGTGTCTGATATCGCAGTTGGCTAGATGTTCTCACGTGTTTTGCTGACAGTACATACCGGTAAAAGGTCTGGCAGGAATCACTCTCAACGCTCTTTCCAGCTGTGGAAAACTTCTAGGATCCTTCACGAATTCTTGTGATGCACTCCTGGTGGTCTGAAAGCAAGTATCATGTTAGGATTGAGTCAAACAATTGAGAAAATGTTACGAACCTCGTGCTCTGACGCCAGATCAAAAATAAGATTGGAAGGCATATAACCCAAGGCGTCGATACCATCGCTTCTTGTGCCTTCAGTGTCGGGTTCGTCTCCTGAGTCTGGGCCGATTTTGTTGTTGGTGCGAATCTTTCTCTGCCTATCCAAGGCAACCCTGTCTGTAGTTGGTTGGTTGGTGTCCTTGAAACGACATTTATCGGCCACCTTGCGTTTCTGGCATCCGCTGCATGGCCACTCACGGTTGCACTGGGTATATGTTTAGCATTTTCAGCATGGATGTATAGCAACTTGCCGGCCATTGTGGAAATGGTCAAGGTTGGGGTTCGTTACCCTTTGCTTGCGGCGTGCACATTCTGTGCAGGCAGATCGATAGCTGAGTTCTCGTCGCTGAGCCCCTTCTCCCATGACGATAGATTATAGAGCCGTCAAACTGAGGATCGGTGTTCCGCATGGATATGATTTTATCGACTAAGAGTAAATATGGAAACACGGGGTATGTGTGGTGTTATTGTTACTTTTGGGTATGAACGCAGAGTGCTTTGTAAAAAGAACCAATATGACAGGAGCCTACGCATCAAAACAAGATGAATAGAAACGCCCATAACACCGGCAATAGAAAAGGCGAATAATCATGTTCATGGGTTCCGAGTGGAGAAAATGCTGCTCGAACGTTGCTAATAAGATGCATTTGCCCGCCTGCAGATCAAGCAAGTGGGTGCGTGGCTAGGTGGCACACGAGAAGAGATGCATGCATCACTTCGGGGGTTCGTTCCATTGCTAATTTCGTGCCGAGGGTTTTGCGAGTCGGCGGTTGTTCGAAGCGATGGGTCCTAACGGGACCAGGGGAGATAAGCGAGGCGATCAAGTGAGACTTTCAGATGGAATATGCTTAGTGATTGTGATGCCCCATTCCATCATGCACCTCCTAGATTCTTTGTGGCTCAATCGCCTGAGAACAAATGGCCATGAAACCAGAGTTTGGAAACTCATTTGGTTCTTCTCATTGGTCAATGTGGCTTCGTTGCGATCCGACATCTTGACTTGACTAAAAGAAGCAAATATTGCGTTGTTTGAACATCCACTGGACATGGTAGTCCCAACTTGCTGTGTGTCTTGTCGAGAGACCATCAATTCTGGACATGTCGTCCTCCACTGGCATCAGGAGATTGTTCTGTATCAAGGATCAAAAAGCAAAGCCCCAAGAGTCCTTGCCTCACCCACACCAACCATTCATGCATCATCCATCATTTTCAGCTCCATTCTGCTGTATGGTCTTGTTGCACAAATCCACTGTTGTCTCTCCATTTGACTTCTCGAAATCCCGTACTGAACCCCTCTCCTAGCTTGGTTGACGCTGTCCCCGCTACGCAGACCGGCGTCGCCCGGTCTGAGCGTTCCAGTCACCAATCACAAGGCCTGTTTTCCTATTGAGCCGCTCCCGATCATGGCAAATGAGATTTCTTGACAGGGTATGGATGTTCAATCCTTGTCTGCTTGGGCAGGCTTGGGCAGGCTTGGGCTTCACCAAATTCTGTTTCGTTTTGTCGTTGTTGCTCACCCATATGTACGTTGGTGCTGGTGCAGCTTGAGCGGGCGGTGAATGCTACCCACCCATGTGGTGAAAGGAACACATTGCCCCGTCGCCGATCAAGAGTGAAACTCAGGCTGAGAGAACCCTAAATTTGTGCCATACCATCGGCAAGGGCAGAGTTGAACATGCTCAGACTGGCGTATCTGGAGATATGAGTTGCATATTTTTATGTTGGTGTCTTCATAACCTACTTACTTGAACCAGAGTGTTCTTTGACCCTCCAACCCATTATGCACGTCACTGACTATCCTCCGATCCCACGAGATGGGTTCAACGGTGTTCTCCACCATTAGTCCATGTCGTCAAATTTGACAACCTTGAAGCCCAACAACGTTCGAACGTTATGGTGGTGGAGAGTTTCTATGCAACAAGGGTACTATGAGGATCCGAAACTCGAGCTAAAGTTACAACGGCGCGCCGTTACAAGTGAACTGATCTAAAGTCGTACTATCGCATGTGGCGCGTGGGGAGTTGAGAGGCGGTGAGGTAAACGCATGGTGGTGGTTGCTTTCGGCCCTCGAACAAACGATTGCCCCAAGCTTCCACCACGAGTTTTTTATGCTTTTTCTCATGCTTCGTCCGAACTTGCCGGTACGTTTACATGCGTCAAAGGCAGATCCCGCGCCTCAGACTCGCATAACAGGGCGTAAAATCGAACGACATCCGAAAGAAGAAGTCTCATGCGCCATGTGTAAGGACTCGTTACTTCGTCTGCCGATGACTGTGTAATGGCGCCCCCGTGAACGAGCTACTGTAATGTAATCGCTTCGGAGACTAGTACCGACCCCCGGAAAGTTCGTGAAATTGTGTGTTCAAGGTCAAACCCTACTGTGCAATACAGGGGCCAGATCTGCTGCCTCATTTCCTCGATGCAGCTCACTGGGTTGCTGCATCCCTAGTCAGCGCCATTGTCTCGAGATGTCGTATCTGAGGTCCAGTAAGAGGGCAGAGGACTCTGTCTCTGGTTGCAAGCATGGGCTTTGGGCATCAAAGTTCAAGCAAGGACGCGCGGAGGTTCCATTTTGACACTCGGTATAGCTCACGCGTATGCAGATGGCCGCTTTCTGGAAAGACAGTGGATAGCTCGGAGTTTGAGTGCCCGACTTTTTGGTGGAGATTGCGCTGCTATTATCGTATTTGTTGAGCGAAGAAGAGGAAGAAGCCAAAAGCACCAAACCGGAGGAAACACGGGTATAAGGTGTTGAGAAACAATCTGAGGTATCTCCTGCAAGGTGAACCTTCCCATGGCAGGCGCGAATTGATGTTGAGCTAAAAACCAGTGTAAAGCCAAGGTAGGGAAGTCGCCACTCCCTTGGTAAAGTAAGGTAGAAGGATTAAGAGAAGAGCTATGGATCAGATTTAGAAGAGAAGACGCGGATTCGTTACAATATAAGAACTTCCAGTCTGATAAACACCACCATATTCGCATATATCACAACCCTCAATCCTTTGAAAAGTTCCTGAACTGCCAGCCAATGCACCCGAAAGAACCCCTCGATTCCCGAGATTTATCGGGTCAGGTCATAAGCGGGGCAGAAGAGCAAACTTATGCAAGTTGGCGCATATCTGGGCTCTCATATGAACACACAACGAGTTGGCAGAACGAATTCATGGCTTCAGCTTTGGTATGCCCAAGTTCACGACCAATTAATCCTAGGCGATGCTAAGGTTGTCATGCAAGAACACTCATCTCGACTTCCATGAGCTGGACGATTATTGGTAGCATCCGGAATTTGCTTCAGTTGTATTCTTCGGAGAACTTGATGCACTCGGTCTAGAATCTGCCAAAATGGCCTGACTTCAGCTAGTGCCCGTATTCCCTGTGTAACTATTGGCACTGTTCCATTTACCAAAAGACTAGCGAATTGTGCATGGCGTCAATCTGACCACGAGGTTATTTATGACATGTCATCTACTCCATATCATGCTCTCGAAACAAGCCAAAGGTGGGAACGATGTTACATCAGGCCAATGTCTGGGGCCGAGAGCTGACACGTCAAGGAGTTGGCTAATCGGGCCCAAGGGCTGCGATAAGTTCCAACTTATCTTCGCGACTTGTTCTTCTTTGGCATCCATGCCTCACCGACTTAAGACCTGCTTCACTTCTTTTGCCTACGATCGTCTGAGCGTTTGCGTGAGCTATGAACTTGATTCCAGTTGAGGCTGACCAATCTTGTCACTAAGTCTCAGCTCAGCCAACTCGTCATTAGATCTTCAGTGCCGAGCTCGCCACATGGCAATTGCTTTCAAGTGCCGGTTCGAAACCCCACCCTCGGGTGGTCAACGGTCGCTAGCGAGTGGTAGCAGATGGCCGCAGCCACCATCATCGCCGATCTGTTGACTCCCAGTACTCTTGCGGACTAGTCTCAAGCATTGTTGCGGCCTAGATCCCTACGTACCCTCCAAACTCTTGAGCCAACTGGCCGTCTCTGGCTCCCTTTTAGCACCTCCACCCAGGGAACTTCTGTCAAATCGCTAACTCTGTCAACGTCTTCTGGTTCGGCCTCTGACCTATCATCGTCTGTGTCCTCGTCCGTAACTTCAAGTATTGCGTCGTTCCCCTCGTCGGCCCCAGCTCTCTCATAAAGATCTTCGGTATAGGCCCAACTTGGGGTATCAAACTTGCCGTGGAGCAAAACAATGTCTCTGCCTTCAGATTTGATGTGTTTGAATTCTTCTGCTGGAATTGGTGTGGTAAGCTGCAAGGTGTGTGATTTTGCGTCAATACCTCGCAGGAGAACCAGCCCAATAGTTCGAGAATACCGGGGGTCCAAAGCAGCGTCGTTGTAGTTGGGGATGTAAGGAATACCTTCCGGGCTTGTTGATACTATCTGGAGAGCCTCATATTTGCTTGCTGCGTCAAGCTTCGTGAGCTTCGATGATATATCGGCAGAGACCTGGTCTTGGGTGAATCTGGAAAATGCTTTCACATCCTCTATCTCAACTGCCGCCAGGACCAGTCCGTTCACTGTATCGGCCAACAACTCCGGTGGACATTGATAATCGTACGATACCAAACCGAAGATCCCTTTCTTGGAGGAATATCGTACAAGTAAGGGTGGTCTGAAAGAAAGTGGCGATGGGTTCCACTTCAACCTTTGGGTGATGTCAGTTTGCTTCGTTGTCGTTAAAGCTAGATCTTGTAAGTGAAAATAAGACATGGTCTGCATCGCTCTCAGATGAGCAGCGGTTCTTGATGTAAATTCAGACTGCTGGGACGGTAATTCTGTAAACGTGGTTTCTGTTGCAGCCCGTAACGCATCGACTGTTTCTGAAGGGCCATCTTCAGACATATATAATACTTCTTCAGGCTTCATCATCCTGACCAAGGCACAGAGAAGATCGAGCCCAGTTCCAAGAACCCACCCTGGTGTGTTGACGATGAGAGGAACACCCGCAAAACTTTTGTTGTACGTATCAAATAGATCGACGGCACATGCCAGGTAGAGATCGGGGTCGGACGCTGGTGTTACGGAGGCCATTGAATGGCAACGAACGACGTTCGAAGCAGTGTCTCCGATGCCCGGGTGTGTGAATGGTGTCCCTAGATTCGGCTTCGTCACAAACACGAGAGACAAAGTCCCAGCTGGCGCATATTCCGGTTGGCCCGGATCTAGGTCCATCACCACAACACCTCGCAAGGTCTGTCTATGAGACCGATCTGTTAAAAGCCGGTTCAGAAACAATCTCGAAAAAGTAGACTTTCCGGCCGACTTGGGGCCGCAAATCAACGTTGAAAGAGACGGCTTCTCTCGACTGGTCGTCACCAGGGATGAAAACTTCCTGTTCCACGCAGCTAGTGAGTCTAACTCTTGGATGATGCATTTCTTAGGTGCATCTTCCGGCGTTTGGACCTATGAAAACATTAGCAAGCACTTCCATAGCAGGTAAGAAAACTCACAATCTGAAAAGTTGCTTCTTTATTTGACTTGGTTGGGTCTCCCTCAGGTGGCTCGTTCCACATTTTCCTGAATAGGGGAGATAAACGGCTCAACTGGCGCAAACCTTGAGCCATTTTATCTGGATGCAGCTCTAGTCTTGTCTGTTCCTTCGTCCGTAATACGGGCACTGCATGGCAGTAAGGGGCATGAACCCATTCAATGGTTTCAGCAGGATAGAGAGTGGCACCAGCCAACACTACCTCACCTTGAATCACTTTAATACCAAAACTTCCAATGATTGTAAATCGCTGCTAAGTCAGTCAGGAGTTTTTCAGAGCGAGGCATGAACTTTACCTCTTTGCTAGAAAGTCGTAATTCTACCACACCTCCCTTCTTAACTCGGTGGTTTTGATCGGATAATCGAAATGATGAGTATGGTATGGCCCTTTGAACTGTCCCGGATTCAGGAGTTATAGATCCTGGTGGCCGACTGAGAAGCTGATGAGCGATGTCGAAGCTGGTGATGCCGGGTCATATACCTTGCCATTTCATGGCTTTTGGAATGTGCGGCAGGCGTCTCAGTTACACGATGTGACCTAGGAGCCTTTACTGCACTCTTCTTAGGAGTTGACGGAGTTCCGACTTGACTGTTTCCCTTTTGGAGTGGACTGAAGTAGTTGACGTTGCTGGTAGGTTGTTTCTCATCGCATTCTGAGGATTGTTGCGCGGACGTCAAAGAGGCCGCAGCCTCTCTCCGCCGAGCAGCAAGAGCAGCAATAGCACTCATCGCTTTATTATGTGATTTAGCACGATCGAAAGGCCCGGCAAAGAGTGTAACACTTACGCTTTGTTGCATCTACACCTTCAATTCTTCGTTTTTTGTGAGAGGACATGGCTGAGAACGGTTATGTTGAGACTTAAATGTTGACGTTGAATATGATCAGTCCAAGTAAAATTAAAAGGAATCGATAAATTTTTGGAGGGTGATTATTTAACTGTCATAGAGCTGATGAACGTCGCATGCGATCAAGGCTAAAACGTCTTCAAGGTGCGTATGGTCTTATCGATAAGAAAAAATCATTTCGCGTTACCTGCGTCTCTATTCACTCGACACCGGGTGTATAATTGTACCTATGAAAAGGGATGGTACCTACCAGCGACTCGTTGATATCTAGGATTTCCTCGATATCTCACTTGAAGTGCGTAAAACCTTACTTCTTTTACCCAGTCGCATTGATTTTGCGTCATCTATTGCCGGATATCTATCTACACGACAGAGGCGCGTCCGCCTACAGTTAACCCAAGATAACTTAGTGGGTTGCCCCACTAGCGCGGCATCTCCCAAAATTTATTTTCCAGCAACTTCATCTTCACCTTTATCAACCTCGTTCCGACAATTGCACCCTCACCTCCGAAAAGTTCCACGGAAAAGTCCGCCCAAGATGGCACCTAAGGAACCCTTCAAGGTTCACTCCCTCAACAAGCACATAGAGAACACAAAGAAGGGCGTATCGGCTGAAGCGCAGTTCAACCGCCGCCCCGGCAACCGTGCTGCAACTATCAAGAAAGAGTCAAGCGACCCAAACAACATTTTTGCCAACAACGATGGGGATGACGATGATGAGTCAGAAAGCGGAAGTGACAGCGATAGTAGCAGCGATGACCCGGCCAGTTTTATCTCCAAACTCACCAGTACTACCAAACCTGCTTCTGCCACTCCACGCCGTCGTAGCAAAGATGATGAAATTGCCGATAGCGATGCCGAGCGCAACGCGTCCAAAAAGAGCACTATTGTGAGAACTGCTCCTGCCAAGTCTAATCCTCAAGCCTCTAGCGATTCGAGCAGCGAAGACGAGTCTGACGACGAAAAAAACAAAGCAAAGACTAACGGCACAACTCCTGCAAAGGCGTCCGAGAGCACCTCGAGCTCTTCGGAGTCAGGGAGCGACAGTGACAGCGATGAGGAAGACGATAAGGCACCCAAGCCATCCACCAAAAAGCAAGAAGACTCTGCCTCCACCAGCGACACTTCCAGTGAGGACGAAAGCGAGGATGAAGCCGATGCCAAGGCTAAGCCTGCTCTGAATGGCAAAGCTGCTACTACTTCAGACAGTGAAAGCGAGGATAAAGAGCAGAATGTGAAACTTGCTGCTAAACCTGCCACTAAGCCTGTCGCTCCCGAGCCCGACAGTTCTTCAAGCGAGGAGGAGGATTCTGATGATGAGATGGTTGATGAATCCATGCACATTGAGGATCGCGAAGGACAGCTCGCCCTCCCCAACTTCATTGCTCCCGACTTTGTGCTTCGCAAGGGCGATGATGGCACAAACGGCCGCGATGTTGCTGAGATCTGCAACAAGGCGAACCTAGAGGGCAAGCAATTTTGGTACTTCACAGTTCCTTCCAATGTGCCCATCTCAGTTGTTCAGAATCTTGAGATCCCCATGAACCAATCTCAGTCTACCGATAAGCTGTTTTCTCACAATGGCGAGGACTATGGTGTGTCCTTCGAGAGTATTGCTCCCAAGGGAAATATCCAAATCATGATTCCCTCTGATCGCCCTCAATACCAGCCCGGTAAGTTCCCAGCTGTTACGTTTACGATATTCTCCACTAACTTATAAATCAGTCACCAAGCAGATCGACCAAGTTATGCAGGTCAAGAAGATCACACAACTTGGCTCCACTAAGTCTGTTGCTCCTGTTCCCAAGCCAGCCCCTCGTGCTCAGCCCGCTGGTCTACGAGCTCGATACCAACCCATTGGAGTCAAGGAACCCATGGGAAGCATCGGGGATGATGAGGACGTCGAGATGGGCGATGCTCCCGTTCTGTCGACCAAAGCTGCCAAGAAGGAAAAGAAGCGCAAGTCAAAGGAGCCTTCTGACAAGAAACAGAAGAAGGGACAGAGCATCCCCGAGCCCCCAGCCGAAGCACCAACTTCTGATACGCGCAAGAACAAGCGGAAGCTAGCAGCCTCTGAAGATGATGCCGTCGCCGTAGCCGAGCAGCTCCGAGAGGAGGCTAAGCTTGCAGCGAGCAAGTCCAAGAAGCAAAAGACAGCCCGAGCTGGAAGCCCCGATCTGGGCTCTGAGCCAACGTCTGCAATCGCAAAGAAGTACACCCCTGTCTTGCCTCCTGCAATCCCCACAGTAGGAACTCCCACTCCCAAGTCTACTTCCACGCCTGCTGCAAGCAGCAAGAAGCAAAGGAAGGTCAAGGAGGCTTCTGTCCCCGCTCCCCGACAGAGCGTGGTACCCATACCCTCTATCCCCCACTCCTCCCCTCCCAGGTCCTCTCCTGCGCGCGCTCCTGCATCGCAGCCTCCTGCCTCACCTAGCCAGGGTATGGAGAAGCGAGCCAGAAAGCGCAAGGATAAAGATGGTAAGAAGACTCCCTCGGGCAAGAAGGAGACCCCTGTAGTCCCCCCTGTGCCTCTATCTTCCTCGGAATAGCGTTCTGCTGTGAAGAATAGTCCTCAAAAGGGCAAGGGTAAACGCAGAGCCCGCAGAAAGTAGTGCAGAGCTCGATATGACAGTATTTGGGAAAGCTTGGTGCCTAGGTAGGTATGCTATCGATATGCATCTCTGTCTATCTGACACGGCATACACCATTATTGGCATTAGCAGCTATTGTGGGCAGGCTTATGGTGTTGGATGCGCATGGGAGATGTTGCCTTTTTTTCTCGCATGGCTTGATCATGCAAAGCATTTCGAACCCGCGGCGAGACATTTGTCTCTGGATTTCAGCGGCATGGCGTTGGTGGTGCATTTCGGTAGCAAATGGAAAAGAAAAAGGGGTCGAGGTCTTTGAGGATAGTGTAAGAGGAGTGACGAAGGGAGAGACTCGAAAAAGACGTCCCTTCTGCGAGGATCCACGTGGATCTTTATTAGCTTGACTTTTGGGCATCAGCATCGTTCAGTAGAAGGATGTTTGTGAGATAGTGTAGTCAATGTCAGAACAAACAAACCTTGGTTCTACACTGCATTTTGTGACTGTGTCAGACCCTGGGAAAGGTTGTCACAATAAGTTAATGCCTTGACCTGTGCTCGAAAGTTGAGTCATTACAGCAAGGTTTATAGCCATAACTGTCTTCTGTGCTGTCATATACACCTACCCTGTACCTACCAAGCCTGGCGAAGCTATCACTACCTTACATACAGGCGAGAACATGTCACCTCGCAAGATATCTAGTTGGAAGCTGGGTTCGCTTCTTTCCTATTCTGCTCAAGGTAACTATTATATTTCGATGATATGGGAATGCCATAAACTCCATAAGCAGCCAACGTTCAGTCACTCTTCTCTGTGGACAAGTAGACAAGCTACCTACCTAGTTAGAATATGAAACTATTATCCCCGTCGAGTGCCATTGAATTCACGAGAAAAGTCAATTCCCCAAATCTCGGATGACAGGCGGCAGAGTCAAGTCAGAGACGATGTACGTAAGGTTTCTTAGTCTGCCATTCGAAAGAACACCCCCCGCCTCTCGTTAGCACCTTAGGGTGTCCATGGATAAAATATGACGATGACGTTCGCTATATTTTAGAGCCTCAATGCGGCCATGTTTTGACACCATTGCGTATTAGAGATGAACGGAAAGACTGTCAATAAATATAATGGATGCGGAATGATAGAGAATACGAGAGTCGAGTGTAGCTGTCACTGAAGGCGATGCCAGATCTGATTCTCCAGCCTCACGATGAATAACTGGGCGGCCGATCTGATGCCTGAAAGAGTTGTTAGGATCATGCGTCTAAGTTGAAGCTCTAGATCTACGACATCTAAGGATAGACTGTATACGTCTCTCACCGCCAGCCCTATAGGCTAGACAAGGTATCGAGCTGATATCCTGGTTGAGTTGACAGCGTTGACCAGTCCATATAGTGATGATAAGAGCCGATCGTCGCTGGTTGCGGTCTCTAGCTGCCATTCAGATGCTGGGGGCTAGAGATCACGAACGAGGTCATTCGGCCAAAGATTACCAAAGTAATTGGCTACTAATGTTGTGTAAGACATCTCAAGCAACACTGGGATAGCTTCCTTGAACAATACTAGTAGTATGTAGGTAGCAACAAGGATCTTGCTCGAATCTGGCAAACTCGAGTCAATTTGATCACTGAGGAATGCTATGTCTCACGTCCTCGAACTATTTGCTACATGGATCTTTCGAAGAACAAAAGTGTTACAAAACCTTGGAAGACGACATGACGCATCACTGAACATGCCACTCAAAAGCAGAAATGCAGACAAGGTGTATGTATATATGTCACGCAGCAGAAAGCCGGGGACAACCATTAAGGTAACCACGTGTATTGCACGAGCTCGATCTTTAGGTAGAGTGCAACGATACTCCGTAGACAATATGTACATATGGCCTGATAAAGTTGAGGAAGCGAGCCAAAGCTTGAAGGAACCGCACACACGGACACTCGGAAAAGTTAAAATTTCGGACAACGGGAATCTTAATGCAGGCAATCAATCATATGAGGAGACCGACCGACAATACTGTACTGGTACGCATTCGTTCGTTGTATCGATAATCGTCCCATGCTAATGTCGGTCGGTGTTCTACGCCGGCCGAAAACTACCGACCGCGGGTCCGCCACTGAGAGAAAGTTGCTAAATTTTCCTTCTTTTTTTTCTTCTCATCCGTCAATGGGCCGAGACCCGACTTCTAAACGGACATTGCCCTAAATTAGTGAGAGATTTAAAGAAGAAGAAAAAATCGTAAGAAATCGGCCGAGTCAATGAACCAAACGCGGAAAGCAAAGTTCGATGGCCCTGAATTAGGTGGGACCTCGGCGGACTTCGCAAAGATTGAACCCGCTGTGGGAACTAAGTTAAGGTAATCGGCCGTCATGATAGATTTTTGGGGCTCAAGAACGAAAATTTCGT